TGATTCCGATAAGAATAAAAGTCATTGCTACCTAAGATCGTGATATCAAGACCTGCATGACAGACCCAGATGAAACATTAGAATTTTCAATGCTGTCAAGTTTGTTTAGCATTTTAAATGATGGGGAAACATATGGAGAATGAACATTACCATGCAATAGTAGTTTTTCTAACGAATCCTTGTTCTTCTTGTCAACCGTTGCACGGGCAGCAGCTACACAGTATTGGACTGCTTGTTCCACAAAAGGGTTCCTCGAGTCACTGAAATTGTGTTTATGCGAATTAAAATTAAGCATGTTTGAAGCAGGAAACTTTTGTTTGAAGTAGGAAACTTTCCCGATATAACCTTATAAGTGGTTACATGACAACGAAGATGATGATATAAACTGATGATTTGTAGCATTGTTAAAAAATCTATCATTATTCAAGAAGCTTATATCGAAAATGACAACTCACCCTGAAGAAACATATTCAAGTGATAAATTTTTTAGGGAGAGTTTGTAGACGCTTTCTCTGGCGAGCTGAGGAGACGTCAATTTCACATCTGTACAACCCTGAAAGACACAAAACAGATACACATTTTAATCAATCAGACTCAAAGAGAGAGAGAGAGAGAGAGAGAGAGAGAGAGAGAGAGAGAGAATGATGAAGACACACCGAGGCCCAGCTATCGGGCTTGAGAGGCTGGTAAAACGGTTTGACAATGGCGAAGAAGCGGGCGTTGGTGCTGAGTACAAGGCCTGCATTGGGTCTCTCCAGAATTAGGTAACCTCCAGTCAACAACACCTTCCCTGGAGCTGAAGCAACTCTGTAATTGTTTGTTTGTTTTTCAACAACAATCAATTTCCTTTCTTTCTTTCTAATTCACAAAAGTTCATATACAAGAACAAAATTTTGATTCAAAATCCAAAACTTACACAGCCTCCATTGCAATTGCAGCCTCGGACTCCCTTTTCTCTCTCTCTCTAGCTGTTAAGTGTGAAGTGGGTTTCTAATTCTCTCTCAGCTATGAGTTGCTGGGTGTTGAATTTGCAGAGCTGCAGAATCAAATTCAAGAAAATAAACTTGTAAAGGTTTGGGTAGAAATTCAAACAAAACCCCAAACAGTTGCAGTCATACTAAAATGCCTTCATCTTCTTGTAAAAGATTGAAAATTTAAACAAACCATCAAAGCAGCAAATTACGAGAAAAAAAAATCAAAATTTAAAACCAAATCATTACCTGAGAGAGCTGATGAGAGAGAGCTAGAAGATGGTAGGTTTATTTTTGTTTTGGTTTTTTAGTCGAAATGGCAGGGTTTTTGATCAACTGAAAGTTAAGAAGCTAGCAGGGGGGAAGGTGGGTGGGTGGGGTTTTCATTTATTTTTGTGTTAAAATTTAGTATTTATAAAAAAAACATAATAGGCCACAAAGGCTTAATTATTGTATTTTTTTTTAAGAATTCTATTTGTTTATTTTTAGTGTAAATATATCATTATACATAAATAATTTTTGTTGTGTATCTATACTCAGGGGTGAGTGAGTGAGCTAAGCCTCACAATGAGCTAGTAATAATGTAGTTCAAATTCGTTTTTGGCGAGGATCGAACCTCTTACTTACAAATGAAAAGAAATATCAATAGACTGTAATACTAAATGATAATATATCATTATATTAAAATATTATTTATTTAAGTAAATTGACAAGAGTGTTCATTAGAGATAGAGTGCAAAAATCTTTTTTTTTTTAAATTACAAGGAGCTCTATCCATGTGCATTTGACAACTAATTTTGAAGCGAAACGATTTATACTCACCATATTTTCTTTACACAACTTTCATTTTTTATTTTTGTTCAAAAAAAAAACTTTATATATTTGATTTTCTATTTATTTATTCAATTTAAAAATGTACAAAAAAGAAAATAAATGTGTAAAAAATCAATTATCATTTCAAGCCACGAGGGCTTACCTAATAATTTAAATTTAAAAAAAAAGTCAAGTGAGCTTAGTTTGACTAGCATAAGCAAGTTGACATGTGAAAATTTGTTGTACCATTTTTTGTTTTGGTTTATGGAACGACGAAGCCTCCAAAGCTGACCAAGTTTTTAGGGGCAGGTATATTCTAATTTTCTTAAGATCTTTATCATTATTCGTAGTTTTTGTTTCATTCTTCATCAAAATCTCTATCATTATTCATAGTTTTTACTTCATTCTTACAATGTCTTCTTCTTCAAGGATGATGTATGAAATCGATCAGTAAGAGGAATAATTGTTTAACCAATCAGAAGGAATGTTTAATCTTCAAGTGGCCCAAAATGAGATGGAAGATGATGAAGAGCGTAGAATGAGAGATGACGAAGCAAGAATGGCCAGAATCTCACATTCCCGTTGAGTCATCCATCTAAAGGTGTGTTCATAATGTCACGATCTCGTTGAGCCATTCTTTCTTTTCTAACATGTTGCCTTTCTTGCCTAGGTGGCTCTCTTTCTCTCTCATTAGCTTGAAATACACTCTCAATAGCTGCAACTTTTACCTCCTTTCTAGCTTTATCAACCTCAAATTTTGCCATTTTCCGCGCCAAAGTCAATTCACTTTGGCGAGCAAGTTCTTCCATATACTTTGCATGATCATTCTTGGAAGCATTCCCTTTTCTCTTTTAAGCATTCTTACCTTGAGGCCTAATTGGATAACGGGTCGACCCCGACGCTTGTTCAGGAGGTGTTTCGAGCACTTCTTCTGCGTCATCTTCATGAACATGCCCACCGGTTAAATGATCGGGTGTAGAGTGTAAAGGGATGCTGTTCATGAAAACTTCTGAACTAACATACACAACTCTGAATTTAGGACAATCTTTGACAATATTCCAACATTCCCACCAGTTGAATTATTTGTTTTTGCTTTTGGTTTTGGCATTATACCAAACTTGTGCTTGAAGTTCCTACACAATGCGGGAGAAGAAATAATTATAATGAAAGTAGGTAACAAATAAATAATATAAACAAATAATTATAATCAAAGTAGCTAACAAATAAATAAGACAAACAAATAATTATAATGAAAGTATGTAACAAATAAATAATTATAATCAAAGTAGCTAACAAATAAATAATACAAACAAATAATTATAGTGTAAATTTGGGTATAATACAAACAAATAAATAATATATTGTTACCTGATCCGCTAAATTTTCCCCATTTCGAAGATTACCACTAGCTTGTGCCAAGGCATCTCTCCATGTACTAAACGATTGGCTAAGTAATTTCCAACGACTGGACATCGATTATTTGGTTCTTTTCCCACCATTTTTCTCAAGAAAATTGGTATGAATAAGATTCCACATTTCTCGTAAATGCATCTCATTACCCCGTAATCGGATCATGAGTAACTTCAACACAACTAGTACACAACGCAATATCTTCAATAAGCGTCCAATTCGTACCTGCATCAGTAGTCATTTTGTTGGAAAAAAATTAGATTGAAACTTTGAGAGAAAGATAGGAATGTGGTTGAAAGTAGTTGAGAAAATATGAAATTGTGGTGTAAGGTAGAAGATAATGAGAAGGTATTTATAGAAAAGTAAAATCATTTTTTTTTAATTTGTCAATTTTTTTTTTAGATTTGTATTAATTTTTTACTTTTTAAATTTTTTTTATTCCCCTAATTAATCTCTGCCATTGGATTTAAAAATTTTGAATTCCGACATTCCAGATTGTGCCACGCGGCACAACAGTAAGATTTCTTATTTTTAAACTATTTTTTTTTAATTTATAAAGGCGAATAACGTGGACTGTTGATTTCAGATCAAATGGCTGATATTAAATTTTAATTTTTTTTACCGTTGGAAATCCAACGGTCCACAAATTGTAGCCTTTAAAATCCAACAGACGTGGGGAAGCCACGTGACCTCCCCAACTGTAACTTTGCCGAAGTGCGCCGCAGACCCCACTTCTGAAATCCTGTCGGACGACTCGCGCCCACGCGCGCTTAAAGCACACACGCCTGACAGAAAAAATTAAAAAACGTAGCTGACGTCTGGGCGACGTCAGCCTTGCGTCAGGATGCCTTTAGGCTATCGGGCTGGCAACTCGTGCTGGATCTCTCTCTTGGGCCTGCTCGGGCTCCCTTGCTAGCACATGGGCTTGCTTGCTCGGGCTCTCTGCCACTGTTCGCATGCCTATCCCACTGGCTCCAGCACACGCTGGAGCTGCTCTAAGAGCAAGTCCACCCCTAAGGACTTTGTGCCAGCACCCAACACATTTATCCACTCAAGTGAACAATAATATACTGGAGTGAACAGTAATAGGCCAAGGCATCTCCACCACTAAAAAAATGCGCTGGCACCCAGCGCATTTATTTCGTGTGTTTTTTTTTTTTTAAAGTTTATTTGGGATAAGATTTTTAATCAATTTCGGATAAAATTTCAAATAAACTTAAAAAAAATTACACACTTAAATAAAATTACATACTCATCAAATAAACTTAAAAAAAAACACACTAAAATAAAATTACATAAACTCATCAAATAAATTAAGGATGAGCTTTTTGGTATTTGTTTTCACACAAAAAGTATATGAAAGCTTTGGTAGAAGGTGTAGAAAATATTGAAATGTGGTGTAAGGTGGAAGATGGGGGTTAGGTATTTATACAAAAAAATAATAACTTTTTAAAAATTTAACTGTATTTTTTTTTAAAAAAATTATGTATTTTTTTATATTTTTAATTAATTTTAATGTAGTTAATTAATCTGGACCGTTGGATATGAAAAATATTCAAATCCAAGAGCCCAGGATCGGCCACGTGACCAATGCCAGAAAATAGCCCAGTTTCTTGGTCAGCATGTTTTGTGCTGGCCCAGAGACCAGCTTGGGCTAGGTGCCAGGCCGTTTTGTGGGCTGGAGTAAATGGACAGGTCCCAGTCTGTTTTTTGTGCTGGTGCTGGCCTAATTAACCACGACTTGCTCTAATAAGTGTAGATCAAACTCATGATAATACAATATAATTAGTATAATGCGATATCTAATTAGTCTATCCGAAAACAATTAGATAGGTAGATGTGGCGAACGAGCGTACAAAAGATCCCAACCTGTGTCGCAATCCGAAACAACACAGAATGGCAGTGGCACTCTCAACAACTCCTCAACCCTGTGTTGTACAAAAGTTCCACTCTGTCTCCTCCAAAACCCTCCGAAATTTCAACCCCCTTTTCAAACCCTCCACTCAAACCCTCTTCCTCAGCTTCCAAAAACCCAAAACCCATCTCCAATCTCCTCCTCGCAACACAATCCGATGCCTTTTCACCGGCATTGTCGAGGAAATGGGCCAAATCAAGCAACTTGGCACCTCCCAAAACGGCGGTTTCGACATGAAAATCGGCGCCAAAACCGTTCTGGAGGGCGTTCACCTCGGGGATAGCATTGCAGTCAATGGAACGTGCCTGACGGTGACTGAATTCGATACCCAATTGTCCGATTTCACAGTCGGTCTGTCGCCGGAGACGCTTAGGAAGACGTCTCTGATCGAGCTCGAAGCCGGGTCACTTGTGAATTTGGAGCGGGCGGTGCAGCCCACCAGCAGAATGGGCGGGCACTTTGTGCAGGGTCATGTGGATGGCACAGGGGAGATAGTGTCAATGGAGCCCGAGGGTGATTCGCTGTGGATCAAGGTAAAGGCATCAAAGGAGGTGTTGAAGTATGTGGTGCCGAAAGGGTTTATAGCCGTCGATGGTACTAGTTTGACTGTGGTGGATGTGTTTGATAAAGAAGAGTGCTTTAATTTCATGTTGGTTGCTTATACTCAACAGAAAGTGGTGATTCCGTTGAAGAAAATCAGGTCAAAGGTGAATTTGGAGGTTGATATACTCGGGAAGTATGTCGAAAGACTTCTCAGTAGCGGGTTTGTCGATTCATTCAAATCTTCATGACTCATAAGGTATTACTCAGATATAGTTCCATTACTGCAATCCTGATTTGGCTTCATGTATAATTACATTCTGTTTGAATGAAAGGGCTATTGTGTAAGAGATTCAGATTTTAAATCGTTCGGATTGATTTATAATATTGAATTTAGGCCTATGCAAATGCAAATACTTTCGAGCAAATCCTTTACTATTTGGTTAAGATAGTGGAGTTGTAAGTTATGAAATGTGTAATATGTAGGATGGTCAATCCTTAGTGTAAACATTCCTACATTTATCACTACTGGCAAACAAGATTAACTTGAGGTAAATGGAGAAAATTGAAGTGTTGGACAGGTGTTTGAAAATATGCATCTATATGTAGTGTTTTGGCATGGAACTGATCATGGTGAGAAAGGATTAATAGCTGACCCTATGCAGTGACCATCCATCATAGTTTGCTGAGTGGAGTTGCCGAGTTAAGTTGTTCTTTTGTTACGTAGATGCCTAAGACTTGATGTAAAGAAAAGGACCTTTTTTCACGTAATGGATGGTGAAATTTTCTTGCAACTAAATACAGTTTTCAAACGTGGAGTTCACTCCTTTGAAACTTTTGTTGTTGAACCTCTGATCGAAATTTGTTCTTTCTTTCTTGTGCTTTCCTTATAAAGTACCAAGTTTTTCTTTTTTGGCAATTTGGTTGATGGTTTCACGAGTGACATGTACGACAAGATTTTTGCAATTTATGAACTTGGGATAAAAAGGGATGCAGCAATTAATTATCTTACAAAAAAAAAAAAATCAAAAATCAAATAAAAGCAAGTGGATATAACATGAAGATTTTTTACTTGGACAGTAGAAATTTCTCCCTGTTGAAGTTCTTCTTTTCTGATGTCAAGTGTTGTACTGTTTCTGCTCATTTTCCTTGCAAGGTCATCACCCATGCGGCTTGTACACACTTGTGATTGGGTTAGCAACTGAGCCAATTGGTGGCTGTAGGAATGCTGTTCAGAATTTTGGCCGCTTTTAGCTTCGCTGTTTGTTTTTTGGAAGCATTTATAGGTAGTGTTGCATTTTGGATAGCTGTTATATCTTGATTTTAAAACTTTTGTTGTATCATTGTTAGAGATGTATTTTATTGGTTGCTCCGTATACTAGTTGGAGATCTTCTCTGCAAGAATTATGATAGTTTCTGTAGTAATAAAAGTTTTTCTTGGGGAATCGTTAGGGCTTTATTGTACTACGACACGCACATGCCCTCACACACAGACTTTCATCATTTTGTGTTTGCAGCACCAAGGGCATCACTGTAAGCCACCGATGCTCCTCAAGTGTGTTTTGGGCCTCAAATTGCACATTAGAAAAATCATTCTGCAGCGAGTCTGATGAAGATTTCTCTCATATTCTGTCCGGAAAGGCATATGAACTAAATTATGTATAGTATTGTAGGGTTTAAATTTTTCTGTGTCAAACTTTTCTTGATTCTAAGAGGTCGCACTTGGTGCGATGGCAAGTGCCTTCGCCCATGAGCGGTAGGTCTCAAGTTCGAGACTTGGGAGCAGCCTCTCCATAAATGGGGGTAAGGCTAGCCGACATTCACCTCTCCCAGACCCTGCGTAAAGCGGGAGCCTTGTGCACTGGGTACGACCTTTTAAACTTTTCTTGATTCTCAGGCTAAAAGTTCGGCGTAATGAGCCGGTAAATCCAAAAGGAATGAGTAGTCTTTTGCCTATAATCTAGTTCTAGTATTTCTTCTCCTAGTGGTAGTATTCTCATTTCTCCCCGAGTAACATGGTTTGTATCTCGTTCTGCTCAATTTAGCTATGATTTTTCCTGCAAATTGAGCACCTATCTCTCGTTCGTAGTGCTTCATGGCCAGTTTTAGGCTTTACTCTTCAAACGAAAAACTTTCTGCTCGTAGCTTCCTCCAATATCATAAATTTGGGATCACCAGTGGCATTTGTTCATATGGGAGTGACGAGAAACGTTTTCATCAAAGGGGGCTTGAACCTCACGTGAAAGAAGAGTCTCGTGTCTTTGGATGTGTAATTAGTTGGTCTTGTATTTCATGATACAATTGGATTATGCCATTAAATGCATGGTTTTATATAAAAGCCTCTTGGGAAGTTGTAGAAGGAGAATGATGATGTTCCAAAAAGAAAAATGTTATTCGTACTCACACAAAATCTCGCTCGGACTTGCTTTTGAGAGAGTCTGAATGGCAGTTCTCGTGAAATTGCTCCAACGAAGAATCACCGTTGTTAGTGATGAGGAACGTGGTCATCACTTAGATTTCTCCAAGTAGAGTAGGTGCGGCTTGCTCAACATCAAGTTGCCCGGCCAGGGGGGGACTCAGTTTTGCCAAACCAACCACTTCATTTGGACAATTCAGTGTTTCCATCACTATTGACATGAACCCCTCAGCCGAAAATACATTTCTGACCACCTCAGCCGAAAGTGAGAAACAATGACAAGTTAGTCATTCCTTCACCACTGAAATTTGCTGTCGGCTTCGCCAAGAACAAACACAAAAAAGGGTTTTACAGTTCGAGAAAAGATACATACTGTGCTGTTTTCAACTGGCGGCACTGTTGGGGCCCCAAACACCCCTATGCTGGTTCCAGCCAAATACAGCTGGTTCTCCTTTTGTGAGCGCGGGCGGATGAGGATGAGACTCCGTACCAAATAATTTCTCCTTTAAGGACCTACATGTGTCGTGTCTTACTAAAAAGTACACCAACAATGCGAAGATACAGCATTTGAATATAACATTTGAAGAAAGAATGCGCGTGCTATATATGAACATTCAAATTGGGTGTGTTTTTGGCGTAGCATTCTGCGTTATTGGGTTAATGGGTTTGACTCCAAGTTTAGTGGATATGGTGATCTTTCTAGTCTCCATGTCTGTCGGCAAGACTATAATTTTTCTAGTTATTTATAGCCACTTAGTACTACAGTCTAGAAATATTTCACTTCACTTGTAAATGAGAGCTCTTAGGTTTGTTCTTGCTAAAGGCGAATTTGAACCACATTATTGCTAGTTTATTGTGAAACTAAGTTCATCCCCTCCCCCTTAGTGCAGATAATATCGTTTGTAAATTAAAATCTTATTTGACAGTTCATTGTGAGGCTAAGCTCACAATTCCCTCTTATCATCAATTTGAGCATCTCCAACAAGCTAGTTAAAATAGCCTCGTTGGACAGCTTTAGCAAAAAATATAGAAAAACTCACAAAAACTCAAATCCAACAGGCTAGTTATATAACTGAAAATCAGCAATCTACTTTAGGTGCAATCATAACACCTTGTTTGTTACAATTTACTCACTTTACAACACATAGGATGTGTATGATTGCCCTCCTTAACTCTCACTGGACTGGACAAGATTACCATTTAGTCTAATCCCGTGTTTGTTTACGGAAGGGCCTAACTTTAGTGGGACTCGCCTAAACTAAATTGGACTACACACTTCGCTAAAGGGGCTTAGTGGGACCCCCCGAAATCGGGTGGACTACTAAGACCTTAGCTTCCCCCTCTCGTTTGCACATCCATCTACTTCGTCCTCTCTTCCTAGAACCATCTTCAAGACCAGATTCGGCAAAAGCAAAACAAAATAGAAGAAAAATTTGCAAACGTTCTATTTTCAAAACAACATCCAACACCCAAAATCTCATAAAACCTAAAAAAAAAAAAAATCTGAAAGTGAGATGAGCTTGATATTTTCAATCACACAACACCGAGAAAACCAGAAACCCAAAAAATTTGCAGTGAGGTGAGCTTGAAATTTTCAATCACAGCACCCAGAAAACCAAAAACTCAAAAAACACAAACCAGATCCAACCCCCATCTTCTACCTTCAGGCCAATCGCACATGCAACACGTTCCCAACTCCTAAATTTTCAATCTCTTTCTTGCTTTGTGGTTTGATTGTGAAGATTTCCAATTGATTATGAAGTTGGGAGATGAACAGCTTATGGGTTTAATTTTGATGTTATTTTCTTTCATCAAAAGAGGGAGATGAACAGAGAACAAAAGGTAGAAAATAGGGAGATGAACGGAGAACAAAAGAAGAAGATGGAGATGAAGAGGGAAGGGGACGAAAAAAAAAGAGAGAGGGACGGAGAAAAATTAGGAAGAAAACAGAGGGAGAGGGGCGGAGAAAATTAAGAAAGAAAGAGGGGATGAACGGAACACAATTGGGAATGGAATGAGGTTTCTAGAGCGAGAAAATAGACAGAAGTAATAATAAAATATTACTAAATATTTATTAAATAATGTAAAATATTAATAAATATGAATTGAATCCTGACACTGCATCAAACACTTCACTAAGCTAGTCCAGCTTAGTCTAGTCTAAGTTAGTCTAGCTTAGTCCCTGCAGCTAGTTCAGTCCAAGACAGTCCAGTGCAACAAACGCACCCATATAGTCCATCTTTTAACATTATACCTTAAAAAAATATTAAACTTGACTATATACGTGCTATGCAGGCTAGTGGCCAAAAATATAAAAAAGTTTTATTATTTGGATAAAGTTGTCTAACTGGGTAACTCTTGCACTACATGAAGATTAACATAGTACTAAGTGACACTAATTACAAAGTATATCATATTTTGTGAAAAATATCTTACATACGTCGATCGCTTCACAACAATGACGATGAAGTATGGTAAATGGTTAAAGTGACTCATGGGGCTAAAATAGTAAATTGCTTTTGCAACTTCCAAACTCTCAATCCCGGAACCAGATCCCTACCTGAGCATAGAGTGGGGACTCTCCTGACCGGATCATATGGGCCATTGAAATTTGATCCAATGACTACAATAATTACAACTTTTAGAGAATCTTCCTGTTTGTAGCTGTTGGATCAAATTTCAATTGTCCAGATGGTCTGGTTAGGAGAATCCCCACCCTATGCTTAGGAGGGGATCCAGTTCCCTCAACCCTAATCCGCCATTCCACACCTCCCATTCCAAAGATATAGGCCTTTAACAGCATCCCCAGTGAGGGGCTGTATATAAGGCTGAAAAAGTGGTGGATTAAACCCATTTTAGAGTTCTGAGGAATCTTTAGGGCTTTATAAAAGAATATGTTCAAATGAGGGGTTATATCTTTCGGGCTCTATATGGGGCTATATATATTTATTTATTTAGTAATTTGATTAAGCGATTATTATTATTATTATTTTTGTTAGCTTTTCTTAAGTTGATAGTTGGATGTGCTATCTTAAATTTTTTTTATGAACCCTTCATCCTAAAAAGTTCACATTGTAACAAAGTTAGATTTCATCACTTATGAATCGTTCGTTGGATTAGATTTTCTTATCTCAATCTCATTCGTTGAAATAATCAAACCCATATTTTTCCCTCTGAAATAATTTGATTTTCACGCATAACACAACAATTTACCTAGCACCAATTGGTAAATTAATATCATACAATTTTGAAAAAGAATTATTTAAAAATTTCACCTATCAATGCCCATGAACGTTAAATCAGTTTGAAATTTTAATTTTTATGAAATTTAAAACAATCATTAATTAGCCAGATTGCAAGAAAAATAAGTGAGAAAAAATAATTAAAAAAAAATAGAATGAGAGTATAAGTGTATTCGTAAATGGAGGGAAAGTGATATAATTTTGCTCACATGAGTTGCTACTTTTTTTTGGGACCCACTCTTTATTGGGGCTAGATGTAGCCGGATTTTATGTTACCCAATAAAGGAAGTAGCTAGCTCCAGTGGTGAATCTAACCTCATTTTTCGGCTCATTAGAGATGAGATTTCTCGTTAATGTTGAAAATGTGGTAGCCTCGTGGAATATTGGAAATGCTCCAACTAACTTGTGAAACAAGTGGCACTTGCGTGGTATAATCTGGATCATACACGTGGCATGACATAATTGAGTCTCGAAATTATCAACATCGACGTGCCGCCAGCCCCTCCAATATTCTTGCCTTTCTAGATGGACTTTCCCCCTCTTACAAAAGTAACCCTATCCTATCCCTTATTTTTCGTTTCCTCGATTCTTTTCCCCCCTTGGGTTGGTGGATAATTGGAAGGTGAGGTTAATAACATGAAAAAATGGAAATATTATATTATTCAAAGAGATAGAGCAATAGATTCAAATTGCGGCACATTCAAAAGGAAATTAAAATCATATTTCAAATTGCGGAGCGTTGGAGCTCTGTGCCTCTGGCAACTCGACGATGGCGTTGTGGTGCGTCTTGCTTTGCTTTTGGAAGGACAATAGGCTAAGGTACATGCGCTTGAACTCCTTGAGTTCGTCTATGCCAGAATCGACGTCGGCGAAGGACTTGTCGAAGGAGGGGTATCCAAGGCATACGCGGTTGGTTAGTCTAAGGTTGTTGTTGGTTTGTTGGAGGAAAAGGAGAGGGCATGCTCTATTTTATAATTAAAACAGTTATAATTTTTTTTTTTTTATCAATGTGGCACAAATTTTAGGGAATTTTAACGAAACACTTTCGGTACTGTTCATTTTTAACGAAAATGATATTTTTACTCTAAAAAGTCATTTCTGGTACTATTCACTTACAACACATTTTTGTCATTTTGATTAAAACTCAAAGTTTTCAAACTTTTTTCATTAGTTTTCTTCAAATTTTTGAAGTACACGAAGTTCACATGGGCAAATAACGGAGAAGCTAACATAATTTGAGATGGATGCATGGCATTGGTATGAAATCGTGAGGCGTTGTATGAAATAAAAAAAAAATTGAAAGATGTTGTAGAAATTGAATTGACAAAAATCTGTAAGTGTAAAGTATAATTTATCCTAAAGAAAATGATAAACATACACTATCACTCCCTTGTTTAACTCTTGTTTTATTTTTGTAATTCACATGGACAAATAACGGAAAAGCTAACATAATTTGAGACAGATGCATGGCATTGACACGAAATCGTGAGCCGTTGTACGAAATTAAAAAAATTGAAAAACCTTGTAGAAATTGAATTGACGAAAATATGTAAGTATAAAATATAATTTATCCTAAAGAAAACAATAAACACACACTATCACACCCTTGTCTAACTCTTGTTTTATATCTGTAATATCGTATTATATTTTTATACTTGTTAATATAGAAAAATAAAATAAAAAACTAATAATCAATAGAAGTAGTAGGATCTTATAGTTAACAGATGGCATGATAAAATTAAAGGAAAACTAATGAAAAATGCTTGAAAATAAAACACTCCCACGAAAATAAAACACCTAATACTAAATTTCTCTAGATTTAACTATAGCCTAATTTCAAATTGCATAAATTACACAAAACCACATCAATGGGTTGCACCACAATCTCATATCTCATGTTTTAAACATTGCAATGTTAACCTTATCTTATGAATTTGTTGTAATGTCAAATCTCCATCAGTTTGTATATTAATTTTCTGTTAACTGCTGATGTGGCTAGAGGTAAGGCCCACTCCCTAGCCCAGTTGGCTCTGCCTCTAGCCACGTTAGCAGTTAACAGAGAAATCGACAGACTGATTGACGGATGTCTGACATTACAACAAATTCATAGGTTAACATTGAAATGTTTAAAACATAAAATATGAAATTGTGATGCGACCTATAGTTAAAGTAATTTTATGTAATTTACTCTTTCAAATTGCTAACCATATCCAAGGGCCACAATATCCCAATGAAAAGAACCTCCCCAACGGAAAACAAATGAAGCAATGGTATGCGCAAGTTGGGGTATAGAAGTTGGAGACCAAACACAATCGGTGCAGGTGCAGGTGAATATGTCGCCCCAGGGAGGGTATTTTAGACAATTGAGAACATTTGAAGAGGAGATGTGAAAAGGGTAAATTTGGAATTCTGCAGCCAAGTTGCGGGCATAGTTGCCGCGTAAATGTTCGAACTTACCATGGACCAGCAATATATATATGTATGCCTGCCGTCATAGCTCCTGCAACTGCCCACACAACTTTCTCTCATATTCTCGCATTCATTTTCCTACCAGACAAACAGTCAGTTTCCCAACTTTCAGGCTCTCCAGGTCCAACCATCCAAGTATCCAGCTAGCGAATACCCATCTTCTCCACTGATGAAGAAGCCGGGCTTTCTAGCGGCCTCAGTCGCCGCCGCTTCTGCCACTGCTCTCTCCGCCACTTCTTCCTCTTCAAGCTTTGTGTCTGATTCAACCATGCGGTTCTCTCACCAGGCAATTAAATAATCTTAATTTGTATTCATTGTTTCTTCTTAGTATCCAGCTTAATTGCCCTGCTTCTACTTTTCTAGGATTCTGCTCTGTTTGGTTGCTGAGAAAAAACAAAAAACAGAAAAGGAAAAGAAAATGAAATCTGGGATTTTGACCCTTGAACTCATGAGTTTTATTACTTAATAATAGTTAGTAGTTACTACCCCAACTAATTTTATTCATGAATTTCTACTATTTGAAAACACTTACCGTTGACATTTCTAATAGAGGTGGACCCTAATTGTGTGCTGGACCCACCTATCTTAGCAAAATTCAGCGAGCGAGTTTGTGTGTTCAAAAAGCGTCGTCTTCTTATTTATACAAATGGTAATTGAGAGATAGATATGTTTATGTTTGATTTTGTAGGAGGCTGGCTCTAAGAGAAATCAAGAAAAATCATCGGCTTCGACGGACAAATTTGCACCCAAGTTCGATGGGCTGAGATTTATTGAAACGCTGATTACTGCTCACAGATAAGATTTGACGGTCTCTATCTTCTATCTATTCTAATCTAAATATTTTTGCCTCCCTTGATTATTAGATCCATCTTCCATCTTGAGGAAACATCTTCAAAATTGGATTTCGATTCTTTTGGTCATGAGATGAAGTTAGTACTAAAAACTAGAAGTAATCACAACTGTAGCGTTTTATGTTAATAATTTAACGTCATATGAAAATAAGTATTAGTGGCATGATATGCCAAGATAGCATTGTACCTGCCAAGCAGGTCATCCTCCTAGAAATAGAGGAATTGTAAGGGTATCATTTCAGTGATGCCTTTTTGTATTCATGTACTTAATCTTAGCCTAAAGGCCGTAAAATGTATTATTTTTGTAATCGTGTGGAAATTAATGTAATATCTTTTACTTTGATTTGATTTGATTTGATTTTTTGTTTTGGTGGGTAATTTCAAAAAATCATTTTCCATCTGTTTTAAAACTAAAATGTTACATATTGATCAAAAAATTATCATTCACAAGATTTAAATTAAAAAAATATATATTAGATTATAGGACTAAGTGACTGACTGATTAATGATATGATGTCAGAATGATGTGATAGATGATTTTGATTTTTCATGAAATCATGTGGCATAAGATATGGAAATTTATAGGGTGTTTCCTTCCTAATTTGATCCATTTGAGGCTTGGCAATGTGCACACTTGTAATGCTTTTAACCATAAAGTTTTCAACGACAACATGTCGACCAAAGCCACTACCACACTGAAAGTGAGGAAGTTCTTTGCCTATGATGATATAATATGGACCACATATATTTGAGATTGTGATGTGCATGCAACGTATGGATGTGATGCGGCTATATCAACAAATAGTATTATCAATTCACGAGTTTAGCAGACCATTAAAATTTGGCATCAGTATTACATAAATGGACACAAAAACTTAAGATATTTCAACTAGTTGGTTGCTTGGTATTAAGCTTTGTATGAGAGTGCAATTTAGCGTGTGGTGTTGAAATATCCCAAAACGGTTGTCTCGTTTAAATATCTTAATTATACTCTGTTGATGCACAAAACCGGAGGGGTCTTGGAATAACGTAAATCCGACCGTGAATATGCAAGAAAGTAAATAACACAAGATGTATCGTGGTTCACCCTAATGTTTGAGCTATGTCCACACTGATATTGTATTTCTGATGGAGAGAGAGCTCTGAATATGGGAGTGGGAGCTTTGAGAGAGCTTAGAGCTTAGGGGATGTGAGGAGGCCTCAGAATTGACCTATGAGGGTGAGAAGTGAAGCTTCCCCTAATTGTGAGGGTGAGGGGTCCTTTTATAGAATAAGGGCTCCTCACTTATTACATATTTGCCTATTCCTTTATTACATAACTACATTTAAGTCCCCTGAATATTTATACAAGATCTAAATACGGAGACCCTAAGTATGGTATAAACAGTAGTCCCCTAAGTCTTTAGTCAAGAGAGTCTTTTGGCTGGAGATTTGAAATTCAGTCCATGTGTGGGCCGAAGTAACTGGATGTTATCTTAAACTGATGCTCGATATGAGACGGTGCTCAATCTGAAATGATGCTCAACTAGAAGTAGCACATGTTGTGAAGCTGCTCGGCTTGTGGCTTATGTTGCCTTGGTCGGCTCGGCTTGTGGCGTTGAAGGTGAGGGAGTCTTTTTTATAAAATAAAGGCTTGCTCCTCAATAAATGAATGATGGGCTAGAGTTGATACTCTCTAATGATGGTGAGGGAGTTCCTTTTATAGAATAAGGGCTCGCTCCTCAATACATAAGTGATGGGTTAGGAGTGATGCTCGCGGCAATACGGTTGCTCAGCTGGCGGCGTTGCTCTCTAATGAAGGTGAGGGAGTTCCTTTTATAAAATAAGGGCTCGCTCCTCAGTACATGAATAATGGGTGCTCTCTAATGAAAGTGAGGGAGTCCCTTTTATAGAATAAGGGCTTGCTCCTCAATAAATAAATAATGGGCAAAGTCCCCCCAAGTATTTTTCATGAGGCCCGGTTGAGGTCCAATATATGGTACATAATGTAGTCCCCCAAGTCTTCGGTCAATAGAGTCTGTTGGCTGGAGACTTCAAATTGAATCCATGTATGGGCCGAAGTGGCGGTTGTTCGGAGGCGGTATTTGTATACCTTGCATTGAAGTTTGGTAGGTGAAGCTTTGCAAGTGAAGCTTTGAAGCTGGAGCTTTGTAAATGAAGCTTTTGAAGCTAGAGCTTTTGTGAATGAAGCTTTTGAAACTAGAGCTCTGTAAATGAAGCTTTTGAAGCTGATTGACATGAGTGATGCTCATGAATGTTTATGTTGATTGACATGAGTGATGCTCATGGATGTTGACATGAGTGATGTGCACGAATGTTGACATGAGTGATGCTCATGAATTTTTATGTATGATTGATATGAGTAATGCTCATGAATGTTTATGTATGATTGACATGAGTAATGCTCATGTATAATGCGAAGTACTGGTATAATTTGAAGTACTGGGTGTACTTTTGATCACCTAGTTGGTGATAATAGCAGCAAGCTGCCGAATAATTTTAGAGTACTGGGCGTACTTTTGATCACCTGGTTGGTGATAATAATGGTAGACTGCCGAATAATTTTGGAGTACTGAGTACTTAGTTTGATGATGATAGCAGCAACTGCGAATATGCCTTTTAAATAACTACATTTTGTTACCTGGCGTACTTTATGATCCTGGTTGGTGATAATGGTTTATGAGCTTTTGGCTGGCTCTGGGCGAAAGTATGGGTTTATTTTTGCTCTTTACATTATATCACTAGCCCTGGCTTCGGCTTGTATTTTTTTATTTTTTATTTTTTTTATTGCCCTCTGATAGGGTAAGATTGTAGATGTCTTCGAAGATGAGAAAAATAATTACCTCACTAAAAACAAAAGTGAATGATTCTGGTGGGGTGTTTATTCCTTGCTTTTGCAGTGTGGGTGTTTATTCCTTGATTTGCTCTCTTTTGCTGATGCTTTTCTTAATAATCCCCGCTCTTTCTCTGTGGTGATTTGTAAGGTATCTTTTTGCAAAATCTTTGTCGTCCCATAATTCAAATTCTCCCAGTTTTTTGCTGTTGCCCGCTTTTTTGCCTACTTTATTTACTTTTGTTTTCCCCAAATTTGGTCGATAGAGTCTGTTGTGGAATTCAAATTGAATCATGTATGGGCCGAACTGGCATTTTCGGACAGGCCTAGTTAACTTGCATTGCGTTTGGGGGGAGCTTTGCAAGTGAAGTTAGCTGAGCTTTGATGCGCTTTTGAATCTAGGCTTTTGTGAATTGAAGCTTTTGAGCTAGGCCATTTGTAAATAAGCTTTTGCCTCTGATTGACATTTCCATGCTCCAATGAATATGAGATTGACATGAGGATGCTCTCCTTTGCACAGTATGTGCACAATTGCAACATATTGGGCAAGATTTTATGTATGATTGAAGAGAGCTCATATGTTTATGTACTTTCATGAGTAAGCTTGGTAATGCGAGCTGGTATAATTTGAAGTTACTGGGTTATTTGATCACCTGTTGGTTAATAGCAAGCTCGAAAATTTTGTACGGCGTACTTTTGATCCTGGTTGTGATAATAAGGTGACTGCGAATTTAATTTTGAGTACTGGCTTTTTTTTGTCATTAGGTTGGTGATAAAGAGCAGAGCCGAATTGCTTTTGAATTTGGGCGTACGCTGCCCTATGTGTGATAATTTACTCTTTTTGGGCATGGGGCATTCGTTTGATAAGACCCAGCCCATTATCTGGGGCGTTTTATTTTTTTTTTTGCCTCTGTAGGGTTATTAGAAATTTCGTAATGAGAAGAAATAAATTACTTCACTCAAAAACAAGAAAAGTTATCACATCATTGGGTGGGGGTTTATTGTTGCTTTGCAGTGTGGGTGTTTATTCCTTATTTGCTTTCTCTTTTGCTGATGCTTTTTCTTAATCTCCCCGCTCTTTTTGTCCACCTTGATTTGTAAGGTTCGTCTTGCAAACCCATTGCTTTGGTCGTCCATTCATTCTCACTTCTGCTTTTCCCTTTTTTTTTTTTTTTGCTTTTTTTTTCTGGAGCTGCTTTGCTTTACTTTGCTTTACTTTTTGTCTCACTCCATATCCCGCATGTTCCCTGTTTCTGATTAAGTGTTTCGACTGCTCTTATCTACCCATAGAAACTTAGCAATACGGCCTGCGACGGGCAAAGTGGTCGAAGTAATATTGGCCAGACAAGCATAAAAAATCAGCTATGATGGCCATCATCAATGTTGTCGCCATCAAATGACTACTTTTGTTACGCTTTCTGAATTTGAAGCAGTGAACCATTGATAAGCTTTTGCTTGCGCCATCCATCTTGCTTCTCTTTATCGAAATTGGGAGCTCTTTGGAGGTTTATTCTTGCTCTTCCCTGGTTTATGCACTTTGGCGGACTTGGTTTGAGTAGAACCTTTCCTTTCGTCTTTCCTTCGCAGATTCGGCAACAATCCCTTATTTCCTTTCCGCCACAAAAGGCACGACGAGCCGGCTTCAACAAGAACACACTTCACATTTGGGTCAGATCCCTATTCATCAAGATAGCTCTTGTATTTCACACCCATATCTACTTTCATGGCGTTGAGAGCTTGGGGGGCGACCGAGGGTGATGACGGCGACGCCATTTTATGGATTTTGACGCGAAAGGGAGGAGATCCCGAAGGTGCGAAGAAGGCGAGGGGATTTGGAGGGTTTGTAAAGAGAGAGCTTTCAATTTGGGTTAAGGAAGAAGAAAGCGGACAACGATTTGCTCAGAATTTGGGTCGCTCCTCCCAATAAGCTTCCCATTACTTCCGTTTGAGAGTGACTGTGTCAGATTAGAGAGAGAGAGAGAGATATTTTTGGTGCTTCTGGACCGGACTACCCTAGAAATTGAAAAATGAAAGAGGCGTTTGATGAACTGATTGTGATCTAACTCAAACATGTGATGATGACGATGCATCACTCCTTGATTGTTGATTAAGATCCAAATCTCACTTTAATCAACATCCAAATGGGGGTGGTTTTCTTGTTATTTCAGCTGCAGAGAGATCTGGAAATTGTAGTCGGCGCGCTTGCGCTCGTCGATGAGGATTTGGTAAGGCCTCGGAGACCTGCTTGAATCTGACGTGGCTTCTGTCTCTCTCTCCACTTTGGGAGCGGGTGCTTGTCTGGTGCAGCTTTTCATCGCCAGCTTTCCTGAAACCCGGCCTGTCTCAGGTTAACTTTGTCTTCCGCCACCTGGAACCCGGCCTTGATCAGGTCCTTGGCGTCGGTGCTGTCACCCGCCACCTTCTCGAGGCTGTTCTGGCAGGTTTCTTTGTAGGTTGGGGCTGGCATTATGGTCTCGATGGTTTCTTTGTATCGCACTTGGCATATGGTTCATTACTTTTGCCAATCTTTGAAGAATCGTTGACCGTCTGATCCGACAAGAAACCCATCAATTTGGATTTCCAATCATACAATCGAAACAGAATGACGATTGCATCAGAAATCTGAAAGCTTTTATTTTGGGGCGAAAGGGATCGAAATTTCCAAGAGATTGAATCAGGGCGTGGATGGTTGATCTGATGATTGATTCTTTGGATTTTTTGTGTTTTTACATATTTTGCAGTCATAGTGTGTCATTCCAGACGGCGCCAAATGCGCGAGGGGTCTTGGAACAACTCTGACCGTGAATCTGCAATAAATACACTCTGGGCATGTGGCTACGAACATTACTGATATTTATTTTGAGAGAGCTTATAAGATGAGCTTTGAGAAGCTTATCCAGAGTGATTTTGTGACCTCCATTTGAGGCTCTTACATAATTGACATTTAAGTCTACAATATTGCCCTTTTTATTACATAATTACATCTGATACATTCTTTGGATAAAATCTCTACACGAACTGTGAATTGAGTGGTGTAGTGTACCATTTGGGACCTTTTTGTGTGCTGTCATTGTCTCCAATTCTTTTCTTGGCATGCTTTTAGGGGGCTTTTGCTTGAGCAGACTAGAACTAGATTCAACTATTTAACATCAGTCTTTGAGTCTCAGCATAAACCAAACACGATAATATTAACAACATGATAAGTTGAGATTATCCCTTCTCCATATGGGCAAATTTGATGTATCAACGTGCTGTTAAAATATAATTGTTTAGAGAAACTCAATTATTTTAAGGAAAATTTTATTTAAACTCATCTAACCTATTTTTACACCCTATAAACCCAATTCAATATGTGGTTTTATTTTTACACCCATTGGACATCAGTGATTGTCGGTCTTTGTCCCTATTATGCTCTGCTCTGCGAAGCTAATAACTTTACTATGCAAACAGCTAGCCAGCCTTGGTTTTTGGGGCAATGGAAATGTGTCATCATGATTTGCTTGTACTAGGCTTGTTTGTTGAGGGTGCAATTTCCGTAATGCTTGCGTTATTAAAAAAACAAAAATTAAGCTTTCATAAGATCTGTAATGCAGATTCATTCTGTTGCATTGCACAAGGAAATCAGATATGTATTGATTGGAACTGGAATATTTGGTAGCAATTCCCCAAGTAAAAGGGCAATTATGCCCTGTTAGGCACTACTCAAATATTTGGTAGCAATGAAAATCGCTTGAGTCTAGATAATGTTCAATATGTATCTAGATGCATAATTTGTGTTCGTTCAATATGTAACGAGGAAACATGATTACGGTAACAAGAAAACACGACACTATAAACATGAATTTTGCTTGAGTCTAGATAAAGTAACTGGTCTATATTCAATATGTATATATAGATGCAGAATTTGTGTTTGTGCTGGAGTCTAGATAAACTGTATTTTTTGCCTCAATCAGACTGGGCGTTAGCCGAGCAAGATAATGCAAAGGAATCATGGTTTTCGCTTCAAGATGCTTCTATTTGTTGAAAAAAATTACAGTAAAGTAACTTCTACACTCTAAAAAATTAAAACCAAACGAACGAAAAAATTCATAAATTGAGTCATACCTTGGTTGGAGGATTCAAAACTTCAAAATCACCATCCATCAATAAAAAAAAACTTATTTTTCTCTATAAGAGGTATTAGGGTTTTAGCCAGAATGAACGTAGAATAAACAAAGAGGGATCGTAGGGTTTAATTACAGTGTTTGAGTTTATTGATAAATTTGAGTTTTATTATTAATTTTATTTTATACTTAATAGTAATTATGCAATAGGACAAAATAAACAATTAATATTTAAAATTTAAATTGGATGTAAAAAAAAGTTAAATGAGTATAAATAAAATTTCCCTTATCCTAATAACTATTTAGTTTCCACTTTTATGATCGAATGACGTTCTCAGTTCAAGGATGGCATTCCCAAAGTAATCACCCAATTTTGTATTCCTCTTTCTCTTTGGCGGAGATCCGACTCTAGTCATTTTTAGGGCTAAAAAAACCGAAAGATCCGAATCCGACCAAAGAAAACCGTAACCCGAACCGATAAAAATGAACCGAATGTTCCGAAAACCAAAATACCGAACCGACCGAATTTTTTGGTTAATTTTGACCTATTGCCAGACCAACCGAAATTTTAGTCAATTTTGGTTTATTTTTCCTTCTAACGGTTCTGTTGGTTTTTGGTATGGGGTTTTTAGTTTGGAAACCGAACTGAAACCAGCCCTAGTGCTTTTCGGTTGAGTGCGACAATTTTGAAGTTACATCCGTAATCTCCACTTAAAACATAAATTAAATTTGGGGATACATTATCTCGACGTGAATTGTATGCTTTGATACTATGAAAAAATTAAAGCATCCAACTTAATAGTCATTGGCAACTTGAAGAATCTGCATGAAAGCATTACATACTGTAGTCAACGCTTTACATTCATAATGTGAGATAACTCTCAAGAGATCACAATTAGGGTTTTTCATGTACTATTGACTATTAGAGCAAAGGAACTTGTTTCATTATCAGAAATGTGTGTGGGTTTAGTGATAAACTGCCAAGTACATAATGAAATTATACTATTTGGGTTACATGTTCAAAGCATACAAATTGGTGGGAGTTATCCGCGGAAAAATAATTGAGTGGGGGGTGATGTTTTTTCACACTTACACCAGCTCAGAACATATGGAAGGATAATACAAGGAAGGAAGCAGATAGTGCTAGCATGATGGAGTGAGTAGCTGATATGTGACCTCTGCTGCTCTTCTGATCAGATTTCGGGGCCTCAGCGGGACATGCGAGACCTTCTTTCCCTTCGCGGCATTGAGATGCAAACAGACCGGGAGGATACTTCCCGTAGATGTTTATGTAGCTGAACATGGTTGAAGCACAATCATTTTTCAAGTCATTGATTTCTTCTGTAAAAGGACAGGCAAAATCCTTCAAGGCATCACAGCAGCTCTTTGCTGGGTAGTTTGGTCCTTTGCACTTGCTTGTTATGATTGTGTAGTTCTGGTTCTCAAAATTCACAGGACAATCTGCAGATAACCCAGCCGGAAAAGAAACTTATACAATGCAGATGAAACATATATACCACAAGCTAGCTAGAGACGCCGAATCAAATGTACATTTTAATTTTTTTGCTCTAATTGTATTTCCTTTCCGTTTTGGGATGAATTCTCGCGTATACTTTGGTTATGAACTCGTTATCTTGATTCAGAGACAAATAATACTATGAATACATAGAAAATTGAATTTTTTTTTTGGTTATTTTTGTTATGAAGGTGTTTGTTGAACGAAATGACCAAATTAGAACATTCAACTCAAAACTAATACACAATCAGTCAAGAAGCATTCTACATTATATATTGTAAGCCGTAACACATTTCCAGCACATTGAATTGATGGCCAAGAACAAATTAATTATTTAAAAATTAGAAGAAAAATTATGGAAACATAAATTATATTTAATTAAAAGGAGAAAGTAAGGAAATGAAGGGTAATTGCCTACTTTTTTTGGCCTGAAGAAGGGCACGTCCCCCCGTGGATGATCCACCAGCCTGTAAGATATCATCTGTAACATTCACAAGACGAAAATTAAATTGAAACAAAATAAAAATAACAAAAATAAAAGAAGAGACGAGATGAAAGGGGAATTACAAGAGATGAAGGTGGCGGAGGAGGCAAAACCCAATACAAGGAAGAAGAAGAGGAAGAAAACGGGATGAGATAACGAAGCCATTGTGAAATAACTTCAGAGACCGAAGAACCTATGACCTATGTCAAGTTGTCGTTGTCGATCTCTGCCTTTGGCCTCTCAGTCTCAGGCTCAGCTCCTTCTCCCCTTTCTTTTTTGGTTGATGGTTTTGGTTCCCTCTCTTTCTTTCTCTCTTTAGGTCTGTCTGTTTGTTTGAGGGAAGAGAGAGAGAGAATTGGAGGGAGGAGAGCGAAATGCTGCATGAAATTTGGAGAGGGTAAAGTGGCAACATAAACAACTTCTGTGGGTGCTGATGTTTCAGACGTTACTAGTTTAAATGGCTGTTTTTTTTTTTCTAGACAAAAGCTGTTTTAATACTTTGGGGAAACAAATTGTCATGATGTTTTAATTTTATTTTTAGCTAGTTCAAGTTCAGTTCGTAAAAAATGTGAGTCGAGGTCAAACAAAATATTACGTTCATTTGAAAAAAAAAATGTTAATAATAAACTTTGAAATACTTGGTTCGTCAAAACTATTATTTTTAAGCTCGTTCGTTAAAAATTGGTTCATTAAGGTCAGACAATGTCATTGCTTTCGATTGAAGACCAATCTTCCAAGAGTTTACGTGTATGTTAAGAAATGTCCTACTACTAGTAGTGTAGGCTTTTTTATTTTGCACTTTTCATTAGGTGAAGCCGAATTAAATCTCAATCCAAAAACAATCCTGGGCGAGTTTGAGCTCGAGTTTGAAAGAATCATTTGAGCCAAGCTTGAACACGGCCGTACGAGCTTTCTTTGAGCTTTTTCGGTCGCCGGAGGCTTAAATTATAACTTCTAAGCAAAACTGATCACCAAATTGTTCGACCTGAGCTAATCGTTTCTCTTTCGGCAGGGTTTATGTTTTGACACAACGATATGGCTTGCTCCGTTCGAGCAATACATTGTCATTCCAGCTTCAAAGATGGACTTGAATCAACCAAACCATTTAACCCCTAGGGTATCCAAATTAATGGAGGACAAGAAAAAAGTGGAACTTGGTTTTACTGCTCTTCATTTAGGTTTCATCACTCTGAAAATAATCCACAAAATCATTTGAATTTGATCAGTTCAACAGTAAATAAATTCCGTGTGACAGTGACCGTATCAGGTGCCCTAAAATATATAATCCTCCATCCTCCTTCACTGATGGTAAGAAACTAGAAGGGATGATCATTTCAGAAGTAGGAAACTGATGCAGCTTAGCAGTCGAAGTTGGAGCCCTCGTGCACATATTACTCAATCTATTGCTGATTTCCAAAATTCGTTTCTGATACGATGTGAACCGATAAATGAAAACCTTGAAAAGAAAAAAAAAACATATGTAAACATTTCTGCAAGATGGTTACTATGAAAACAACCAAATGAGAACAATATGCAATCAACAGAAGGGGGAAAAGCAACAGAAAGTCAACAACAAGCAGAAACAGTATGTCGTAACAGTAATCAACTGAAATTGTATGGAGCGTTGGCATCCATGTGATGTGTGCGACATGCAGATCCATATCCAGTAAATTAGACAATCAAGGGCAAGTAAGGACATTCAACAGACGATATAAACTAGCAGAATACCATCCATTGCATTTCAGAAATAAGTATCAAATAATTCAGTAAAATTACCTCAGAATTTTATAATCTTCCTGGTGACAGGTCAAGCATCAACTTTTCTTGGTTGGTTGTTAACATATTGTGTGTCGTACTTTGCGACTGATGGACCTGCCCATCCGAAGCCGTCTATTTGTCAGTGCTTCTAATAATACAACTAAAGTATCCTCTACAGCTTCAGCCTGTTTATCTAATCCAACGGAGCTGAACTCTGGAAGAAGTTGCAGCTCAGAGAGGAGGCCGATAGCCGCTCCTGCTGTACAGGTCCGATCCCATGATGGTTGGGGCCTGCCCTCAACACAAAACAATCAGTTACACAACCAGTTTTTTTAAAAAAAAAATGACCAGTGATTTGGAAAGTGGGAATGTAAAAGAGCAAAAGAAAGTGCTCAACAATAAAAAAATAAAACCAAAGAAAAAACAAAAGCTCCTGAATAGAAAACAGTAAAAATCATTTATTAGTTCTTACCGAAGTTTGTGCATTGCAGAAGTACCAGTGGCCAGGGAAATACAAGGAAAGTCTCCATCGCCCCAAACTGACGCTGCTTGATCCTGCACTAGAAATACTTAAGTGAAAAACTCACAAAGAGTGGAGGTCCTTTCGTTAAAATTGTTAAAGGTCATCCCTAAATCGATCTGATAGCTTTATACCAGTACTGAAGTAAAGCAAAATTGATAGTTATGGGCATCAAAGGTCCAAACTGTTGACCCTATTGTTAAATCGAAAGCAGAGGGACTTTTAGAGAATGATTTATTTGTAACTGTAGTCTAATACCAAGTTTAATGTGGGGAAAACTGTTTTGATGTCGGAGGTGAGGTTCTACTTTTATAGTATTTGACCATTTTTTGACCAAATTGCCCTTCAGGTTCGACCGATGTCCAACTCAGTTCAATGCTAAAACTGACCTTCTTGAACCTAAAAAGACATCTCCTGCAGTAGCTCCGTACAGCAGTTAGTGGAGGAATAGTGTTGAGCAAAAAGGTTGCCAACCCAATAAATCCAGAAAAAAGCAATGAAACTCATCAAAAGAACTAACCATCACTCTCTGGTTGCCCACACCATGTCTTAGCATAAACTTTTAGATCTGAGCATGGACTCAAACTCGCAAAGGTCAGCTGTGGAGTCGAACTCATCTCCTTCATAATGCCTATCAAGTTCAACTCTAAAACTGACCTTTACATACTCATCTCCTTAAAAGTGCCCCCAAGGCTTGACAGAAAAACCATGCAGTATGTACAACGGGGGCATTTAGATCTTTTTACAATGAAAATGGCTATAATATTAATACCTCATAAAAAGGGGTCAAAAAGGTTTTTCACTTTTTTTTTTAATTTTTTTGTACTAATATTAGGGGAAGAGGGGGGGGGGGGAGGGAGGGGGCTGGGGGAGATTTCGAAACTATTACAATAATTTAGGAGAAGGGGGAGTTTCGAACCATGACCCATGGGTAGAAACCCAACATTCTATCCAATAGGATACTGGACCACATGCAAAAAAAGGATTTTCACTTAATTTAACTAGTCATTTGAAAAATAACCCCATGATTTATTGGTAGAGGTCCAAGTTTGATGGTCAAATATATGCCATATGAAATAATACAAGAAATCTACATTAAGCATTTTGTAGACAACAATCAAAACATGTAAGTAAGAAAATACATAGAAACAAAGATATGCCTGACAGGTTTACCTTCAGCCGACTGAATATTGCAACTGAATTGTTCCATGTTCCGTCAATCAAAATGAAATTCAGAGTCCTATCTTCATCTGTCTTCGCATAGTCAAACTGAAATTGACCACCATGGTAAACTTGAAGAGATTATAACATATTTCTTACAAAAAAAACCTGATGCCTAAACATTATTCTTGCTAGTGTGGCAATCTATCAACACAGTATCTAGGAGACAACCAACATTTATAATTGAACCACAGGTGTGTTTGGGAGTGTTTCGGAAATGAAAAGTGCACTTTCAGATAATCAAAATGAACTATTTAGTGTTTATCTGAAGTAGATAAAAGCAAGTTTGGGGTTAGAGAAACCCTTTTAGTGCTTCCTAGAGCACTTGATAGCTTCAGCAGGACATGCTGTCAGATGAATAATGTAGGAAAAACATGAATTTAATAAATAGAAAATGCCTAATAAAAAGATCACTAAGAAGAGAACTACTTGGCCAAAAAAAAAAAAAAAAAAATCATGCAGAAGCCTTCCCAACATTGCTCTCAAACAATAATACCTTAGTATCTGTTCCTGCCAGATATGGTGACGGTTCTTGGCCAAAGACATCCTCAACTGATTTTAACACTCCATTTTTGTTGGGATACAGGCACCAAGTATTACTTTTTCCTGTATTTAACGTAAATCCGAAAATGATGTTAATGATTCGAAAGGTTTAATATCCATAAAATAAACTAGGTAACATATACAAAACTGCCAAATAGTACTGCTCAAAATATTACTGGCAACTTAAATTTATCAAGATAGCTGAGTACTAATACCAGTAGTTTGTTTCAACACGCAGTTACAAAATCTACTGCAAAAACCAAAGGCTACAAATAATAAGAAAATAAAGCACCCCTTTTATCACAGTTAACACACACTCGGGAACCAAAGTAGGTTTTCGTAACAATAGGGAAAGAGTATCATAAAGAAAAGTTTAATGCTTTAAAGTAACAATGCATTAATCACATTAGGATGGTCAACTTGGCATTTATAGGCAGCATCAGTTTTGAACTTCTTTGAAGGGGGAAGAAAATCAAATAAACCTGCAAGCTTCAACGCATTCCACATTATTTCTTCATGTTCGGAAATGCCAAAGAGGCACAAAGTTGCAGCCTCAGTGCCAAATACCTGCCATAACAACTTTCCAGTGTTGTTCTGTCGCAAGAAATCCTGCAACATTGATGATTGCAAATTTAAAAACGTTTTGAAATCTGTAAATAAGTATCAAATTGATTCATAAATGAGCAGTAGAAAACCTTGGGATGCATGTATAACCAGAACCGCATTCTATTCCATAGAGTGCATTGTGTGACTCTAGAGCACATACAATCTTCTTCGGAAGGAAGCCAGCACTGCATTAGTGCATAGTGATAATAAGTCCAATAAACAACGATGAACATGATATGAAGATATTAAGCAGTAAAAGGGCATATTGGTCTCTTCTAGGATGCACATGCTTCAATATTACCTCACCAAGAGGAAGAAGGTAAACCTGATGAAAGTGCAAATTTGTTTTAACAAAATAACCAAATACCTTTTGACAAAGGTAGCCCCTACTTCCGAGCAAACGACATGCTATTTGTCGAGCTGAAAAGAATTGGAGCTTTTTTTCAGAATCACCTAAAGCCTGATATGTTTTTCGGTGTTTTCTATCCTCTTGCACTTTGAAATCTCCCTGAAAAGTAAGGTATCAAGTTATCAACAACCTACCTTAGAGCCAATTTATCAACCACTCCAATAGTACAATCCGAAAAGAACACAGAAAAACTTCATCTGAGCTACACATTTCATAGAATATAAGTCTACCCAAGCAAATATTTGTTACATCAGACACCCTAATCACCCAATAACCTAAGCTCATAATATTAAAGTGTTTCTTATAGATGCTGATAAACCTCCATGGTAAATAGATTACACAAAATGTAAATACATAACATTGAAACAAAATTTACTCCAAATATTCATACAGAAGACAAAAGGGATAATAATTTGATCAAATGTCATATGATATACCTGAAGTTTGCCACGACTACCACCAAAGCTCATCTGGGTATCAATATCTTTCTCCAAAGCCTTCAAATCCTCAACAATTTTGGTAACCATGGCGGGAACTGGAGACGCGGTGCCCCAACCCTGCCATTCCTGCAATGTGATAGCGCCTTCATGAACGCCGCTTGTACGAGCTTCTTGTGGGGGCGACCCAGAAATTGAACATGAAAAGGGTCTGTGGAGAGTTGTGGGTTTGGAGTCCATAAGGGTTTTGGTGGAGAAGGCGATACAAGGAGAACATTTCAATGTTAAAGCCCTTGAAGGCGACGCCATGGTGTATTTTGCTTCTTCTGGGCCCCGTCACTCTAGCGTTAACCTTTTATTATTATTATTATTATTATTTTTTATCTTGGTTTTCTTTATTGGTAAAATGAAAATAAATTTAGAATTTAGCTACCATATTTAAATATATGAGAAATGTTTTTATAGGACTCTCTTGAAAAATGTGACACTTTGTGAGTTTTCTGCCGGCTTATGTTTTTTACTCAATGTTTTATAATATTGATATTTAAATTGATGTTAAATTGTGAGGTGTTAGAAAGTCGATAAAAAATCACTCTGGGTGGTATGCATTTTTCCTCTTTCTATTTTTATATTCTCTTGGTAAATATTATTGAACCTTTCAGTCGTTATTTGGTTCCTAGTATTTTGCTTTTCTCGAGTTATTCAGTTTGGTGTTGAGGAAGTAATTATCACAATAGGAACAGAAAACTGAGAGTTCAAATGAGAGGGCTTGTTAGGGATTGATGTTAGCTTTAGGTTATGTCTTTTTGCTTTATTGTCCGTATCATTGCTTCATTGCTGCATCGGCTATTGGCAATCGTGTGTCATTGTCTATAAGAACAGTTCAATCGATCCCCATGCGTTCCCTAAATCAGAAAATACGTATTTTTCCATCCGTGAGAGTTTTGTCTCCATCCTAAGTTGGAATCGAAATGGTGATAACTTTGTCGTGCGACTTCCTAATTGGCTGGGGCAGGGATAACTTGGAAATGTTGATGCCTCAAAGACCAATTCAAGTCCAACATTTGGGGTTGGGCTTGCTACAAGTCAAGCCGACGAACCTTCCGTGGGTTTGTGGAAACTGAGAGGTGGGAAGGTTGGAATTGTGGGCAGGCTGGAGTGGGCGCTTTTCTAGAAAGGGCAGTGATCTCATTGTCCATGATAAAAGTATGGGTTTGTTGGCAGAAAGCCTCATGGGACTTTTCTGTCCCACTTCGCTTCATGGAAGTATTCTTTTTCACTAAATAGTCATTTTTTTTCTTTTCTTTTTTTTCCTCAAGATGTGAATGTAAGTTGTTGATGTACAAAATCGGATAGAATTCATAATACGTAAAGTGTCAAGTTTGTTATCTTCGCACTGGTTGTTCTGGTCACCTAGTGAGGATAATATGTAAAGAGATAAAAAAAGGGAAGCAACACAAGATGTAGGTGGTTCATCCTAAGTTGGGCTACGTTCATAAGGTAGAGGAGTTTTCATTAATAGTAAAGAGTTTACACAATACATAGGTTCAAGCATAATCATCATTATTGGGTTCTAATGACAAATTTCAATACAATAATGACATTAGGGACTAACTATAGGAGAATTGTCTCGTTTTATAATTGAGAAGAGTCGCTCGCTTTTGTTTGCGGTTGATGTGGGAATTTAGGAGATTTATGCCGACATTGACATGTGTCGTGCTGTGATCAGTCTCTTGATAGGAGAGGAACTCATGTGCTTTGGCATGAATACCTTAGCATGAACGCTTCAATAGGTCCCTGAAGATATGAAATTGATGGTGCTCGGTAGTTTCGGGATTGGTAAAGCATGGTACAAACACAAGTATTCTTCATCACTAAGATGACCATGTTAAGACCAAGGTTGCATTTTAGATCATGTAGGATCTAAAAGAGATTAATCCCATTCACTTTCCAAGAGAGTTTGTAATAGGGATGGTCCTTCGTGCAAGTGTTGAATTAGGAACATGCAAACCATTAGAACTTTGGGAACCTTATGCCATCTCCAACCGAATGAGGGCTTGTTTTAGCCCTATAGCCCTCCAAGAAATTAATATTTTAATAAACAATGCCAGACCATATTTCTTACCATCTCCAACCGAGGGGCTAGAGGGCCACATGCCATACATAGCCCTGTGACAAAAAACAATCTCCAATTGAGGGCTAAACATTATTTAAATTTAAAGACTACAACAACTTAAATTTGAAAACTACAACCTAAATTAAAAAAAAAATACAACTTAAATTTAAAAACTACAACAACTTAAATTTAAAGTCTATAATCATCATCATCTTCATCATCCGCCATTGTAGGATTATAGTCAGATGTAAACAACTGCTGTCGGGCCATAATTTCCGTTTTTTCCTATCAAAATAGGTCTTACTAATTGGAGTGTAATCTGAAGTGTTCATTTGCATGTTCCTATCATCCATCTCTTCTTAAATTTGTTTTGCCAGTTCTTTGTGCCTACGGTTCCTTTCTTCTGCGGCAAAGGCATTTTGCTCCGTCATTAATCGCAATGAGGCCGCCACTTCCTATTGAGCGGCATAATCATCCTTTGCCTTGCCCTTTTCCTTCAACCTTCGAGTCTTGTTTCGTCCCATAACCTTAGGTATGGAACCTTCACCCGAAGATTGATTTTCTACCCTTATTTCTTGAATGGTAGGAGATCCATCTTCATCCCCATCTACAACTGAGGATGCAGTTCCGAACACCGGCAGAGGACCTACTCTATGTTGAAGTGGATCTTCAAATAACACCCATCCTTTACAAATTTCCCAACAACCGTGATGCTGAAAGGGTTTCGAGTTGCCCTCCATATACAATTCCTCTGCTTGGCGTACCTACAAAATATATTTACAAAAATTAAAGGAAACTAATTTATGAAATTAAATGTAATATAATTAGATATTTAAAATAAACTGCTAATAGTGCTTGATGCCATTTATTCAAACTTGGATGAAGATGTTTCTTCTATCTTGAAGAACAACTCTCATAGTTTCGGGTATTCAGTGGAGTGGTGCATTCGTAGAACTCATGGTAATTTTTGGACACATGAGTCTAAACACCTTTACTTGTTTGAGAACTCCCCTTCACACAATCTTCCGAGACCCATCTATAAGCCCTGCAAAGAGTTTCATCTTCTTTTCGGGTTCAAGCCCTACCTTTCATTGCAGATGAGGCCATTTGAAAATTATTGAAAAAATTGAAGGAAAGATTATTGGAAGAGGTAAGAACATATAATGTGAAGAATTGAAATAGAATGAAGTGAGATAGTATGGAATGGTGAAAATTATGTGACAAATGGTGTAGAAATTGCTTAAGTATTTATACGAAAAAATGAGAATTTTTTAATTTTTTTTTAAAAATTGTTTTGGCCTAAATTAAAAAATTCAAATCCAACGGTAACTGACGTCAGTTAGTTGTTGGTTTTGAATTTGTGGCCTAGCCTGGGGCTGGTTGGCTGGCTGGGTTGGGCCAACCGGTTGGCCATTTGGCTCTTTTTTGTCCCGGGGCCCACGAGCCCTTTGGTCTAGCCCTCGGTTGGATACAGTTTTCAGGCTATTTTCGACCCTCTGGACCCTTTAGTTGGAGATAGCCTTAATGATTTAGTTTGAAGTATATGGTATTAGTGTAACCCTTAAGTTATGACGTACTAGTTTCGTAAAGAAACTGGCTTAGTACTTGTGCGATATTTATCTTAAATGATATTTTAAAAAGCTGGTATATGTTATGGTAATTTCCTAATTGAAAACATAAATTTGTCCCATTTACATGCTGGAAGAAAAAAATTGATTGAATTTGAGTGAATTTTTACTTTAAATTTTTTTTAGCTCATCAAAAGATTTAATGTGCAATTTTACGCATAAATTGATTTAGACTTGGTAAACATATATTTTGTGTAGCAGATGCTTTACGCTGGTCTTGCAGTTTTTTTTTTTTTTTTTTTTCTGTCTCTGTACTAACAAATTGGAAGCTTCTTTTGTCAAACATATTATCTCTTTTAAAATCGATAGCCTACAATCAATTTCAAACACTGACAAAATTATTTCCACCACTATCCCTAATGCAATAATTAGCATGTCATCTGGCCTTTGCGGTGGTGAAAAGTCATACTTGTCCGGTTTGAAGGGAAGGACATGAAAGAGGCAGGTAGAATCTAAAGGTTTGGATGTATTTTTAAAAAGGTTAAAAGTGTTTTTAGGTTTTAAAAACATTTGAAACGTTTTTTTGAAAAAAGTATTAGTTATGTGCTTTTTTTATGAAGCACTTTTAAGTTTTTTTTTTTTACTAAGAATTAGTTCTAAAAATATTTTTACTAAAAACGCTTTTAATTATTTTAAAAACACATCCAAACGAGTTATAATATCTCGCGATTATCAGACCTATATGAGTTTGAAGTTATTTAATCTCTCGTATTCAATTATATGATGACTCACCCACTGAAAGTTTTGGAATTATATGTCTGGGGCCCTATTTGTCAAATCTACATACATGATTCTTGACCGAAAGTTTTGGAATATTTGTTGTTGGCCCAGTAAGAAGGATAAAACTTCGGTTGTTGTTGTTTGATTTATTGTCAATGTTAAATTTTCTCCATGGTGAGGGGCCCTGCCGCATGATCCATCCATTAATACTTAATAGGTGAACTGGCAAAGGAGTATAGTAAGTGCTTTAAGTTGAGCACAAGCGATAGTCCTTCAGTTACAACCAAATATGGAATTCGGAGCGTCCCAACCATATCATGATTTTCATCAACGGTGAGAAGAAGCATACGATAATTGGTGCTGTGCCTAAAACCACACTGACTAGAACCATTGAGAAATTTTTGTAGAGGTGGCTACGGAAACCCTTTGCAAGATTTCTGTTTTTGGTATAGTTTTTCCCGTTGCTTTTGCTGTGACTGTGAGGGCTACTAATTTAGGCCAAGTTCAGAAGCGTCTTTTATCTCGTCTTTCGTTGATGATATTATATATATTATTTATTAATCTTCTGTGTTAGATGCATATCAACATCTTCACTAATGTTGCCCTACAGAAAATTCTTACCCTACTAAAGTCGTCGAGATTTTAGACGGTCAACTTCTGCAACTCTGAAAATCTTCGACATCTGACACTACGATGACCTGGGTCCTGCATTTGCAAGCTTTATCGGCTACTTGCTTATTTTTCATCGTATTTTCTACAAATCTAGAACTTTTGAAATTGTCTTCCATGTTGATATGATATTATTTTTTGAGTTAGATTAATGAATATCATCGCCTTCGCCTTCCTTTCAACTTCTGTTGGCCTTTCACCAATAAAGATA